ATATTTTATATATATATATATATATATATATATATATATATATATATATATATACACACACTTTCAAAATAGTACATATGTAGTTATAAGCATGCATAAGTATTTTTATAATTTTTCTACAGTTTTAAAAGCTCAAAATCAAATTATTTCTCCTCTTTTTATTATATAAATATCCAATAATTATCATCCCTAGTACTTTTGTAATGATTTAGCCATCTATATTCATTATTTATGCTAACATAGTATTTAAATATTTTTGTGCATTTTTTATAATTATATTTATATTTTTTAAGCTAAATTGCACACCTTTGTAATAATAGCCCTTACTAATGTATAATTACATTATTTATGCATAAAATAGTATTTTATATTTTTAAAATGTTAATAACTATTTTAAATCATTTTAGTATACAAAGATATTTTTTGATATTCATTTATTATTTTTATAAATTATTTAGTTATTAAAATTAGCTATTTAAAATCTGACCCTATTTTTATTCAAATTTGACCCAATACCCGGCCCAATTTTTAACCTACACCTACCCAGCCCAAAACTTAATGCCCGACCTGTCCCCAATCTCATTCAAACTCAGTCGTTGATCATAGAGATCAACGACCACAATTAATCCTTTCCTTAATTAAACTAAACGACCCCCCCAAACCCGGTCATTCTCACCCATATAGCTGCCCTGAAATCCCTTTCCTCTCCAATGCTCTCAAAATATAACCCTAATCGGACCTCGCCGTCACTCATCTATGGCTATTCATGGTGGTTTCTCACCACCCCCAGGCTTCTAACGGCCTCTCCTCTACTGTATCACCATCTCCAGGGTCTTCAAGGGACCAGGGTTAGTCTGCTTGCATCTATGGCCCTTTCTCGCCTGGTTTCAGGCTGTTCCAGTTTGATTCCGAGTAAGATCTTCCTATATCGCCTTAGATCTATGGGTTTCTAAGCTTGCTTCTCCACCTCTGTGTGGCTCTTCTCGAAACCCTAATTTTTTCCTTCTGAATTTCTACTGCTTTTGCCCATATGGCTTGAGTCCATTCTTGCCTCCATTTACTGCTTACTCAGCATGCCTAATACTGCCTATTCAAACATGTGATTAGCATGTTTTCACTTTACTTGCTTGTTTGCTATCATGTTTAATATGTCTACATATGTAACTGTTGATTCCCAATTTTTCCCTATGTATTTTTATACTCAAAATACTTTCAAAATAGCATATGTATGCATTTACAAGCACGCCCAAAGGCTTTGGTATTTCCCCAAATTGTTAAAGATTTTTAAAACCAATTTATGGCCTATTTTGCACTNCTGTTGATACCCAATTTTTCCCTATGTATTTTTATACTCAAAATACTTTCAAAATAGCATATGTATGCATTTACAAGCACGCCCAAAGGCTTTGGTATTTCCCCAAATTGTTAAAGATTTTTAAAACCAATTTATGGCCTATTTTGCACTATAAAAACCAATAATTATTCCCAAAACTTGTCATTTTGGCGAATAATTTATTTTATTCTCGCATTTACACAAAATATAATTTATATGATTTTTGCATAATTTTACAAGTCCATTTGGTATTTTTAAACTAAAATTGCATGAAATTGCAATTTTAGCCTATTTCTTGATTTAATAGCATTCGTAATCACAAAATCATTTCTAATATTTTTAAATTAATACTTATGCATTGCTTATAAACTCAGTATTTTTAATTTGATTTTTTAAACAATATTTACTATTTTTATAAAATCAAAACGGGGAAAATTGACTATTTAAATTGCAGTCCCTTTTTATTTCAATTGTAGCCCAAATTGCACCCTCAATTTCAACCCCAATCCAA